AGATAATGGGTGTGATTCACCACTGTGACTCTCTGGATCTACCAACTTAAATGGTTTTAATCTCGTAAAGCCCAGCAACACTGTGAGTAATTCAAAAATCTGAAAACTGTGAGTTCATACATCTGAAAGACAAATTTGTCAAGCAAAAGCAGGAGAACGCAGAGGAAAGCAGCCGCAACTATACAACTGTTACCCTGCTTGGAAGGCAGCAGTCCCACCGCAGCAAGTACAACCCTGTAACCAAATCAGTTTGAAAATATATGAAAATAACCCAACAAGATTAAAATTGAAGAAGTGTGACTTAATACAGCTTGTTTTCTGCCCAGCATTGCTCAAGGTTGCTCGCTCTTATATATGTTTTCTCCTAAACAGCCCTGAATCCTCCTAGCTGCCCCATCACTGCCCACACCTTGCTTCCAGCCTGCCCTTGTGCAGCGAGGCCAGGCGACCGTGCTCTCACCCCAACACCACACTGTACCCCCACCCAGCAGCACAGGGGAACAAGGAACAAACACCTTGCCCCCACCCAGCAGCACAGGCGGTGACGACACCACTGTCACCAACCACCAACAGGCAGAAATGGCACATTATGGCGATGGCTTTGATTTATTTGTGGTCTTGATTCTCCTTCCAAGTGAGTGGTGTTTTCTATTTGTGGCAGGTAGCCCATTAAGCTCTTCTGAAGTGCATGTTCATTCTCCTCCTCCTCGCTGCCCTTCTTCCTGCCTGCTCGTGGAAACACCATTTCTTCTGTTCGCCATGTGTCTGGGTGACTAAAAAAACCCAACAGCTTCTTGCAGTTTAACATCACAATATATCAGTATTTACTTTGTTGCAAGCATAGCCCACAGAAGGGTCCTGCAACTATTTCATGTATTTTACTTAGCAGTATAAAGTTTATTCAGGCTCCTTATAAAAACAAAAAAAACCACAATCAACTGGAAACAGGTAGAAACTGTGGAGCACTAAGCAAAGCAGAGTCCACGCCACACCAAGAGACAAAGCCCAGCTGCATTCTTAAATCTGAAGAATGCAAGAATAAACTTCTGCATGGGAGGAGTAAACTAGGAGCCTCTTCACAGTCATCCACGTCCATGACCTGTGCTTTTTGCTCTGGCTTTCTTATTCTGTCAGTGACCTATTGAGAAGCTGCATTTCTGCTAAATCTTCTGGGTCCTTCAGTGACATGACCATTGTCATGCCATGTCTGGCAATTTGCTTGTGTGACACAGCCAGAGGTTAATCAAAGCTTCCCTCTTTCTATGACAGATCAGAGTGAGGAAAAAAAGCTTAAAACTGATTTAATTTCTTAATATGCTTCTGTCTGCTGGCTTTGATTTTGAACACTTAGCACTTTCATGCTAGTCACTCTGCATTTCTAGGTAATGAAAAAATACTTTTTTTTTTTTTTTAAAGCAGAACATAATTAAGCTCAAAGAAATTAAATACAACGTTCAAATGAGAAAGAGCTTTGGATGAATATGCAGATTTGTGCTGCACATATGCTTACCAAAATCAATGCATTCACTAAAAAAAGACTATCTTAAAGATACTTGTTTTAACCATGGGTAACTTATCATCAGGTAAACATTTTGCTGCAGCTTCTTGGTTATTATTTTCCAGATGAGGACAAGAACTCTCTGCTCTGTATGGTCTTTTGAGTTTGTGACCTTATAAACACAAAGCTATGACTGTCACCGAGGAAAAACTGGAGTAAAAAAACAACCAACAAAACCTGCACCAATCTCCTCCCTTCCCGGGCACAAGACAGTCCACAAGCAAGTCAAAGGGTGTTATTTCACCAAATAGTGACTTCAGTTTCAACATGAAGAAGACATTTATTTGCTGCCAGGAAACCATGCCACAGCCCAAAACCTAATTGTGCTAGGACCTCTACAAACATAGTTAATGCCGTTTCATGAAAAATAAAGGATTCCAGTCTTGTTCATGTGAAAAAATCAGTATCTGGTATTGTTGCTGCTAAGGAAGTCACAGATGCAGATTCCACAAGCACCCTATGAAGGCTTTGTCGTATAAGGCAACTAACTCTGCACCCTGACATGCTGAATGTTAACATACACGTATATTTTTGCCTAGCTACTCTATTTCTGTGACAAAACAGCCTTTTTCCCAAGCTGAAGTCCCAACCACAGCCCCTTTTACAAGGGGGCTCTTCTAAAAAGATGGAAGTACTCAGCAGATTTGGTCAAAGAGAGAGCAATAACTTGAAAAAAAAAAATAATCAATGTTTGTGTGTTTGATTATCAATATATCAACTGCATTTATTCCAGTAAAGACCAACGAGCAAAATGTGCCAGGCTCTGCATAAGACAAGTAACACACTGGCCCTGCTATGAAGTTCAGAATTTAAGTGACTGAGCAAAACACAGTACGGAAAGAATTGGTGAATACAGTGAATAAGGACAACAGAGTAACACCAGTGCCTTGACTCCTCCTTGATCTCTAGGTGCATGCTAAGAGGGGATTTAGCTGAACAGAGAGATGAAGGACAGAGAAGTGGATGCCGCTGCGAAGGATTCAAGGCAGGGAACAACATGCTCAAGGCTGAATGGTGCAAAGGG